CCTCAGCTAAAGCGCGAAATGTCACTGCGCATTATACGTACACAAATACGTGTTAGTAGTGTGAAAAAAATTGTGGAAATAGAAGCAAGGTTCTCAAGTGATGTTTCACGTACGTCATCGAGAACACCGCACGATAAATTTGTATATAAAGACATTCAGATTCCGAACTTAGATTCATACTGATGATAAGAAGAATGGATAAACACCATAAATCATGTGATGCAGTTAGCAGAGCGGTTATCAATTGTAAGTTGTCGTAAATATTTAATAATGCTGTTGTCCTGCTGGCCATGAAATGTCCTTACTGTGGTATTGACATAGTAACGTATATATATTGTATTCCTCACGTCGATTTCCTTTTCGCCCACTTCGATGACGTTGAAAATTGTTGCCAGAAAAAATCCTTTTGAATGCAGTGAAAAACAGTGGTAAAAGTTGGCACGCTTCACGTTATAACGCCAAGCGGCTGTCCATTATTTTGATTCATAGTATGCCAAACCAATGCTACGAAAGTCCGAGAGGCGGGCCCATAACATTACGGTTTGATAGTGTCGTAGGCGAACTGTCGATACCGAGATAATTGCGAGCCAAACATGGTATGATGATTTCTTGTAATCACGTATGATATTATGCAAGTCAGAATACAATGACAAATGGCGACAAGAAGCGCGGGGCTTGCATAGCCCCCTCCCTCTTTTGACGTCCAGTAAACCAATAAGTCATGGTGTAAAGTTTAAGGTTACATTTTGAAAAACAGCAGTATTTTAATCCATCGGGGTTGCGTAAACGTTACGACTTCAATAAAGAGCATGCAGCACTTTGCTTCTGATTTGAAGCATACAATTTTTCAGTTTTACAGAATAAACTACATCCATTTTGCTCAAGAGGCTTCCCTTTCCGGGATGTGTCATTCTACGATTATCGTTACTCTTAACGAGCCGGCAGAGAAGCTTCCAACCGCTTGCATGATACGAAGGTTAGTTACGTTCATCGCTTTTTTCGGCTTTTTCGTTACCGTATGGACGGTAGCACTACGCATGAAAACCTTCCCTGAGTTGGGACATGCTACTGGGTTCAGGCGCACGGCCAACGTGACCTTAAACGCTACTTTCATCAATGATCGTCGCCAGAATGAGGCAGCACGCGTTGCAATGTTGGCAGTAGCGGCGGTGATGTTCCTGCCGTTTGCTTGGATAGCATTAGTGGGTTTTGACCTCATGTACTCAGCCTGGTATTCGCGATTCAGATCACATTCTGCTAGGATTCCTGCTGCAGCCGCTGCCGAAGTTGCAGGTTTGCACAAAAGGAAAGATCCAGCAGTACTAAAAGGCTACAGAGCACTGTAAAAGAGAAAGTCCCAAAAATCGATAACACTTGAAATCGCACCAAACGACGTCTACTTGAACAGCGATGCTTTTACTGCTTCATAAATGCGAATTAAATGGACTGGAATCAGAAGAGCAGCAAAGGCAGCGGGTTGCATCTCAGACTTTAACCATGGCAGTTTGTTGTACCTCCGACATCGTTGCCTAAGTAGCATATTTTCTTACCACGACTGAAATATACTGCTTCACATAATGTCATTTCTTTCAGTGTAATGATTACAACTGTTGAATTATGCAAATGTGATTTTCTATCTCATCAAATATTGGTATTTTCAACATTAAATGTGACATTGCGAATCATGATTAAAGGCGGAATGTGACATCGACTATACAAACAGGAACCGCGACTAATTAAGCAGCATCAGTAATATGCTGAACTTTTAGCGGCGAGTAAAACTCCGCATCAAAATGCTTTCTCCTACGTTACAGCCGCATTCCGTAATGCCGAAGCTGTGCAAATTTTTTTTCAAAAACTGTTTATTTCTCATAAGATAAGCTGTATTACTTCGACATTGAGTAATTTTAAAAAATTGCTGCTTGAAAAACCATTGACTAGCTTTTTAATAATTACTGATCAAATAAAAGATAAGGAGAGTACACTCTACCACACGTGGTAAAATGCGTACGTTAGTTACAGATGTTCTCTTGATGCTTCGAATGTCATTTTTACTTTACACATTATCGACGATTTATTTTATATTTATTTATAACTGCAATAGAGGAAAGCGTGTTTCGAGGCCTTAAAACTCACTCGAGGCTATTCTCAGCCGGGACTAATTCTCTCGCGATCACGCATCTATTTTCTCCAGTTTTTTGACATATGGACATACAGACAGACAATTCCTCCCGGTTCGACACCGCCGCAATAAACGGCATGTCATCTACGTTTTTCAGACACAGAGGCAATCGTACCCGAAGTGCTGTTGTATAGATGAAAAATAGCAGAGGAGAGAGAACCCATCATTGAGGAATGCCAAGGCAGCTCGCTAGCATCCTCGAACTATTCTTAGACAGTGCAACAAACTGGGATCAGTGTGAAAGATATGCGGCAAAAAATCTCAAAACGTCGAATCACAGACGTATTGTCCCAAGGTGGTTAGAAGTCGGTCATGGGGCACATTTTACAGGCTGATGACAAATCGAAGAGAGCGAAAGGCACTATCTACTTTTCTTTATCCAGTTGCTGCTACCAGACTAATAAGCACAGCTGTGGCGGAGGTGGCGCTTCTGTGCCGTCGAAATCCGTGCTAGAGCTGGTCCAGCCGCAAATGCCATGACGCCACAATCGAAGGCATAAATAACCGTTCAAAACACGTGCAACGCTGGAGATGACGGTCAATGGGCGAATCGCCAGCTCTCAAGCACAAACTTTCTATGGGACCGGCGTCATAAGGGCGATTAGCCAACTCACCCGGAGCCAGGCAGACGATGAATATCCGTGAGGATTGGTAACAGTTCTACTACACAGCGCTTCAGCACCTAATCATGTTTATTGACGCCATAATCGAGTCGTCGGAATATACGCAAAAATAAAACGCAAATGCTGCTGCGAAAGGTAGCTAAGCGCGCAGGTCTCAGTAGCTACATTACACTACTTGACTTGAAATAAAGGACTCGTGACGGGCTGGGACGCACAAGAATTTCGATTTGTATTAACGCGAGCGTGTCAAGTCAAATTTAATGCAATGATAGGTAAAGACTTCAGAACTTTCAGAAGGTTAAGCAGGAAAAGCGATTGAAAAACGAAAAATTTCCGATACGGTAGAACATACAGGAGAGCGTGCATGTACAAATGACCACCACCTTTACGGGGCCAGGCTTCAGAACGTGTCCGGATCCCTAAGGGTAAAGCATAAACGAGCGCTTAAAATTCTTAACTCTGACATAAATGGAGAAATTTTGTTACGCATCGCCTTCAAATGCGCAATGTATATTTGGCCAGAGTATAATAAGGCTGCTGGGTCGGATTGTAAAGAATCTTCTTGGCGATAGTCACCATGGCGTTATTAACGTCTGTCGCAATTGTTACTGCAGTCCGTTCATATCGCAGGTCAACCTCCTTGGAAGAAAACTTAAAGGACCAACATTAGCTAGAAGAACACAGCTGTAGCATATGTCGCTAGAATGGCTACAAAGAGTGCAAAAACTACCAACGAAACTATACGTGTATCATATGATGGCGGCAGTCAAACGTAGAAGGATGTATTCTAAACCTTCGATGCAATATCTTGACCGTGGTCTGATATTGAAATTCATTCAACCATAGAGTCAGGACTTCATCTTCTTCCAGATGAAGCCTTCAAACGCGCAGGGCACGTATGTCACGTCTTGTAACAGGTTAGAACGTGTGCTACAAGTTATATAAATGTTCTCGAAGCACTTCATGGCGCTTATTTTAAACCTGTTTAACAGTGATCAGCTATCTACCATCATTACCTTTTCAAAATTGGCAGATATTTGTCCTGCCTCGAACGATCGCTACCAGTGCTGTGTCTTCCGCATACTTAAGGCATACGCAAAGTTGAAAATTTGACACGTAATTGCATGGATTGAAAAAATACAGGGTGGAGGGACCTGATCTTTGAGGGATGGCAGGATTATTCGCTAGCACATTCGATTGGTTTCCGAGCAAATAAACAAATTGAGAGCCAGTTGACATGTACGTTGCAGCCCATGTCATAACGCATAGATCACAGTCAGAATGCCTTGAAATCTCCACAAATCAATTACGCAGTACTTTGCTGAACGCTGATTAAAAGTAGAAAAGGCAAAAGAACTGTTTCCTTTCCTGCATACAATTTATAGAATGAACTTGAAAAATAAATCAAGGGAAAATCTTTACAAGCGCAATTTTGTTGTGCAGGATGCCGCATGACCTAAAGAATGGTCACCTACCCTTTAAATTGAAGCAAATGTTTGCCAATCTACGAATATTTGCAGAAGCATTTCCGCGCGATACAAAGATTTCCATTTTCGAAGGTCAAGCTGCAACGGCGAAAACGCCGTTAGCTCGTAAAACACCCGAAAACTTGCCGTGGAAATAATTGTAAAGTACACTGGTAGACTCGATCAACAAAATTGTCCAAGGGCATCAGAAAAAAATTTATTTGGATTTTAATACCATTGAATATACGAACAAATCTGAAATAGCTGTAGTATACCAGGCGTATTTTCAGGATGTCGACAATGGATGTAATGGTTCGCAATGTCTTCTTCGTTGGCTCTGTATCGCTCTCAAGTTTATATTCTACAAGAACGAAGATATCCTTCAGCAGCGAGTAGGCAAGTTCTTCAAGTAGCAGCTGATCACAGTTGTTTTTCCTTTAGTTTTAGACAAAAATATAAATGACCTGTCCTGTTGTAATATTGGCGCAAAGGTGGGCGGAGAAGTGCTTTAAAAAATCACTAATCGCTATTCCAACGCTGCAAGGTCAACAGGCAAGGTATAACTCAACTTCGCGGAGCATCAAATCAAGCACGAGACGCTGACTGATTGAAGAATATCAGTTAAACAAGAACTTGCTTTTTACCGATCTCATCCCTCAGCATTAGAATCATCAAAGGTACCGCCGGGCGCTGTTTATGACAGATGATGAATAGCTCTACTACCGGAAAAAAGGTCATTGCTACCGAAGAAATGACAGCGAGATCTGATGGGATTGGTTTAATGTTTCTGTATATGTAGTTGCCTCTGTATCATAATTAAAATGAATCGTTTTGTAAACGTTTCGGTCTGAATATCGATGAAGGAAAGGCATGGGCGATCTGCAGAGTTGTCCGCGTGGAGCCTGGATGGCTCCATTCCAGTGTCACGCTAATGTTCATTAATTTGTGATAGAATTGCACGAAAGATTAATACATTGTTCTAATTAAAAACAACTGATAATCATAATGGATACAATTATGAGAAAATTAACGAAGAAGTCAATAGTTATATGATAACAGACCATTTGCATCGTTCAGTTGACTTAATCGTTGTCAGTTTGTTGCAGAACGGGCTTGAATTTGCTTAGATCATAAATTTATTTTAACTAATAACTTGAGTTGGGTTGCCACATAATCTTTGATCTTTCGTTTAAAAGGCTGATACTGATTGAGACGATTAAGCTTCGATATAAAATTAATAAAAAGTTTTTGTAGCAGCTGCCTGCAAGTTCATTTATCTGGCGGTCAAATACCTACAGCAATTTTACGCTACAGATGTGCGGTTATGCTGCGGTCTTAAAGCATATGAAATAACATATGATGTGGAAGAAAACGGATATCGATAGCAAGGTTTTTTCGTAGAATCTGCTGAAGCATGAATCTTGCTGTGCATTTTGCGCTCGTAAGAACCGGAGATTGCACATCGGCGGCATGACCGAGATGGTGAATGAAACGAACGCCTCTGAACGAGCCGAGGAGGCCCAGAGGAGCCAAAGTGCGGCGTCCAACTTCTCGCTGAACTCGTTGAGCAGCAAGAGTGAGAGACACTCATCAATGTCTTCACCGATTCGC